CTGCTCACCTGTCCTACCTGTGCCGCTCACCTGTTTGTCTTGCCTGTGCCGCTCACCTGTGCTGCTCACCTGTCCTACCTGTGCCGCTCACCTGTCTGTCTTGCCTGTGCCGCTCACCTGTGCTGCCTATGCCACTCACCTGTGCCGCTCACCTGTGCTGCCTATGCCACTCACCTGTGCCGCTCACCTGTGCCGCTCACCTGTGCTGCCCGTGCCTCAGGATGAGTGACTCAGGTGGGGCACTGCAGCTTGGCCCGGGGGTGCGCTTGCCGCTGCCCTGCGGTCAGGCCCCTGAAGGCTTGGCACGTCGGCACCTCTGGCGCTGGGGCCGTGCCAGCCGCTGAGTCTGGTGCCTTGGAGGCCAGCGGCTGAGCCGAGGCGGCAGGGCCCGGACACCGGCTTTCTGACTTTCATAGTTGAAGTGACTGGCGTTGTTCCTACGTGCTTTTTTAAGGGGTGAACGCTGCGGCCATCACCCAGAGCCTGGGGAGCCCCGTGGGAAGCCTGGCAGGCCCCCGGGGGGAGGCCCGGGACCTCCAGCACGGCTGCAGTTAGGGTGCTGGCGTGTGGCGCAGGGCGGGAGCCGGCCTGCCGCGCGGGCCTGCTTCCCTCTCGGCACGAGGCTCTCAGGCGCGTGTCCTAAGGTGGCCACTGCCGCGCCTCAGGACAGGGCGCCGTCTTGCTCGTTGTACCTCACGCCAGTGCCCGTGCAGCCCGCTGGGAAGTGGGCTCCATTCTCACCTGTGGGCAGCGGGGGTCAAGCTCTCCGCGGGTGCCCGTGGCCGGTGCGTGCCGGCGGCCAGCAGTGTGGCCCGCCTTCCGCTGCCACCCGCTTGGCTGTTAGGACCTCGCAGGGGGCGGGCGCCTGCCGCTTCCTCAAAGGGCGAGAGTGGCCTTGGCTCCTGAGGGGTGCCGGGGCGCTGTCACTCACGGGGTGGAGGGGGATCCAGCATCCTCCGAGGACCTGTGAGCTCCCGGGAGAAGACAGGACATCCTCGGGGGCCAGGAGTCCCGGAGGTGGGGTCCAGGGCAGTGCTGAGGTTGGGCCTGGGTTTGGGGGTGAGCGTGGGGGGCTGGGAGAGGGGCTGTGGACCTCTTGGGGGTGTGGCACCACGGGGAGGGGTGCCACATGCTGTCAGCAGGCGCCCCAGGAAAAGGTCAGCAGCACGTGGGGTCTGCCTCGCACCCACAGCCGCGGGCGCCCACGGCAGGGCGGGGGGAAGGCCGGAGCGGCGCCGTGGCAGGTGCAGGCGGCTGGGCCGCTCGGGTCTCTCTCTGGCCCAAGCAAAGCAAGTCCTCCCCAGAGAAAAATATCCCCAATCTGGCGCCTCAGGACTCCCACAGATAACGTTCAACCAATTAGGCGTCCCGATTAAAATTAGAAAGCCCGAGCACAGAGAGAAACAACACAAGGTGACGTCTTTGCAAGAGAAACATAAAAGATTAAAGTCCCAGAAGACGGTAGAGTCTGAATTACTAATGTGGAATATGAAATCATGGCCGACGTTGTCACAGAAATTAAAGATGGTGGCAAAATGAGTTAAAAGTGCCGTGCAGAACAGTTCTAAATTTGCATACGGGAATGAAGAACGAAAATGGATGGCATTTGCACAACAGGACAGGCAGGCGGACCCCTCAGCCCAGTGGGGAAATGGGCGCACCCGTTGGCAGCCAAGCGGCTGATCAGATGCGGCATGACAGCCCGGTGTGCCACGCAGGCTGGGCCACGCTGGCCGGGCCACACAGGCCGGGCCACGCAGGCCGGGCCACGCTGGCCGCCACAGCTGCGTGGGCTTCTGGCACGGGGCAGGTGAAGACCATTCACCTGTGACGTCCGCTTTACGCCGTTTGGGAAAAGAGCAACTAGCCTTACGTTAGCTTATTAAAAGATGATCACAAAGTTTATGTGTTTTGTCTGAAAACATTTCGTGGCTCAAAGAAATCATAACAGAAAACTAGGGACAGAGAAGCCATGGAATTTCGATTACTGAAATCTGCGGGGTTCGGCAAATTCAAGTTTTAGAGGGAAATTTGTGCCGCCACTCAGGTTAGAAAAGAAGGACTCACGGTTGAGAGCACAGAGGAAGTTAGAGGCAGAAGCGAAGAAAGAAAAAGGGCATAGTTAACCACAAAACCACCGTGAAGAGAACTAAAAACATGAAAAGTTCCGTTGTGTTAAAAGAAAGTCGAATACAACTGACAAGTCTCTGATGTTAATCACTGGAAAGATGGTGAGAGACCAGAACATCGGAACTGTAAAGAGCGGCGTGATGGTTGCACGGGATTTTTCAGCAATCAAAATTCAGTTTTATATGGTGAATTTAAATTCACCATTAAAGGTGAAATGAGATAGAAAATTCAGAAAGCTATAAAGCGCCAGAATTAACGCAGAAAGCCAGGAAATTCTACAGCCGCTGCGGATCGCTGAGGGAGCCTCACACACAGGCCGACACGTGCCCACAAGCACACCGTGGCCAGTGGCCATGCGCGTGTCACACCCCCCAGCCTCGCCTGTGCTCACGCGCACGAGGCCCGGATTCTCCCAGTCTTTGAGACAAGCGACTCCTCATAACTGAAAATAGAGAACACCCTTCAGCTCGTGTCGGGGCGCAGGGAACCTGGCCACGGCGGTGGGCAGTTGCTGGGGGAGCGCGCGGCCAGCGTGGCGCTCTGGGGACACGGGACAACGGCATTGGGGGCGCCCTCACCGCGCCCCCGCCGGCACAGGTCCGCGCACCGCGACCCGCTGGCCTCAGCACAGGCTGCTAACGCGAGCCCGTGCGTGACGGACCCCATGGGCGGGGGAGGAGGACGGGACCTCCGCAGGGCCTCGCGGTGCCCTGACTGCCCGGCCGAGATCATGAAACTCCTCAGACCACGAACAATGGAGGAGACCGCTGTGGAATCTCCCCGAGCCCAGGCAGCCCCCGGGCCGGGCACTGGCACAGAGGGCGCCCGAGTTCCCGGGGCGGCAGGCCGTCCGTGGGCGGGGCCGAGCGCTGCCGTGGCCTGAGCCCGGGGCGGCCGGCCGTGGTCGGGCGACCCACCGTGTGGGGAGGCCACACGGACGCGCTTGCGCTTCGGGGTGCCTCTGGAGGGAAGCAGGCCTGGTGTCTTGCTCTGGATAGCAGGTGGGTTTTGCAGTCTGAACTACAGGAAAACACCTCCCCGTGCGGAACGGACCTGCAAGCCGTGAAGCTCTCGGGAGAACTGAAAGGGTGGAATGAGAGGGGTGGGGAGAGGCCCAGGGAGCCGGTGCGCCCCGCGCCTGACGAGAGCTGAGACTGGCGGCGTGGAACGGGACCGTGGCGAGCACGGCTGAGCCGTGGCCAGCCAGGGTGGACACGTCCGGTTGGGTGGGCCCCTCGGGGCAGCCGCGTGGCCCAGCTGCCTGTGCCGCCACTGTCCCCACCGTCCACGGCGGGGCCCTTGGCCTCCCTGCCCACTCGGCCTGCCTCACTGTGACGCGCCCTTCCTGCCTTTGCTGTTCTGTGGAGACCAAACTAGCTCACGCAAAGATGCCTGATGGGGGTGGCCCGGTGGCCCAGTGAGGCCCTTCTATGAACAGCCGCTGGGGCTGCCCGCTGCTGCCCCCCACTTGAACCTGGCAGGGGGGTGGTGTTGGGACAGCTCCAGAACGAGTCTCGGGCCCCCCGGTGCTCAGTGGCAGGTGGACGGACAGGGTGCGGTCAAGGTTGGGGGGCAGCTTCTGATCTCCCGGACATGGGTCCCCTCCTTTCCATTCCTAACCAGGGCTCCTGGAGCTTGAAGGGAAAATGCCACCCCAGCCATCTGGGGACACTGGCAGGTGGGGTGCCAGCCTCCCCCCAACCCCATCCTGTGGCCTGGCTCCCGGGGTACCCCCAGACGTTCTGTTGGGAGCCTCCATGTGGCCGTGGCGGGGCTGCCTGGGCCGGAGCGGGAGCAGACGGTGCCGGCGTCCGACGCTGGCTGGCCGGGTTCTCTTGCCCCTTCGCACGCAGGAGCTCCAGGAGCTGGAGAGGAAGCTGGAGGACAAGCTGGCACACCAGGAGGCGGCCTGGCGGCTGCAGGCCCCACACAGCGGGCAGCAGTGGGCAGGCGATGGGTCCCAGCTGCTGACCGAGCCTGACGCCGGGGACTCAGACGGGCAGGTGTCCGCGGTCCTGCAGCGGGCCCTGAGCCTGGCACAGAGGTGCCTGAGGCAGTACCAGCAGGGGTAAGTGACCCATGCGCGGGGGCTGGCCTCTCCGTGTGCCCACTTCCCGAGCCTCTCCGTGTGCCCACTTCCCGGGCCTCTCCGTGTGCCCACTTCTGGGCCTCCCCGTGTGCCCACTTCCCAGGCCTCCCCTTGTGCCCACTTCTGGGCCTCTCCGTGTGCCCACTTCCCGGGCCTCCCCGTGTGCCCACTTCCCGGGCCTCCCCGTGTGCCCACTTCTGGGCCTCCCCATGTGCCCACTTCCCAGGCCTCCCCGTGTGCCCACTTCCCAGGCCTCCCCGTGTGCCCACTTCCCGGGCCTCCCCGTGTGCTCACTTCCCGGGCCTCCCCGTGTGCCCACTTCCCGGGCCTCCCCGTGTGCCCATTTCCCGGGCCTCCCCGTGTGCCCACTTCTGGGCCTCCCCGTGTGCCCACTTCCCGGGCCTCCCCATGTGCCCACTTCTGGGCCTCCCCGTGTACCCACTTCCCGGGCCTCCCCGTGTGCCCACT